GTGCCTCAGGTGCCTAGCCACGGTAGCGAGATAGCTGGGGAGGGATCACTGATTTGAGTAGATAGAGTGCTGGACTGGAAAGTTTATCTAGATCCCTGCCGCCAGGTGAGATAAGGTCACCTGAGAGCGCACGTGCCTTGATAATTATATTCTCCGAGGGTTGGGTTATTGTCATCCAATCGGGGCTCGGCTAGAATGGAAGTGTTAGGTATTATTAATACTAAGACGATTGTGAGCAGGGGAAAGTTGTTGGGTAGTGGCCGGGGAGAGAAGTTGGAGCCTAGGGCTCGCGACTCCAAGGCGAGTAGAGACTTAAGCGGGAGATGGGGGAAGGACTTAACCAGTAACTTTTGTAACCACAATGCCAAATAAAACTGAACTCAAATACCACGTGTCGGATTAATTATTGTGCAACATTGAACAACAATTGTAACAAGGATTGTCAGGTGCAAGTATTTTTAACCGGAATTAACGTTATACCTTGATGCTTAGTAGTTCATTTAGTATGACATTATAGCATGACCCATACATATAAAAAATCATCTATTGGCACTAACCTTATAACTCGTATGCAGTTTCTTGATTATTCATATGATAAGCAATAAAAACTTAACCCACTGTTTCCTCAATAAATATTTCAATGGGATCTTTGACATGTCAAAAAGTAGTATAAAAAGTGAGTTTCCCTATGGGAATCCGGATGTCCGTATTTGTCAGCACGGACATGTAGTAACTGTAGTGCAGAAAATCACTTTCGTGAACCTGATCTAGAAATGACTTTAAAGGACGTTTATCAATATCTTATAACGTGCTCTTTCTACTTAATTGTTTTCAAATGTTATATAAAAACATTATGAAACAAATAAAAATATTTTCAGCGGCGTGAATGTTAGTTTTTATTTGTTTAGTTTTGTTGGAATGAGCGCGGTTGTCGATCTATAATGAGTTTACCTGCCACGTGACTTCGTGACGTCAGACTAGCAGAACTCGCATGCCGAAAGTGTAAACAAAAGCGGAACAATTGAGGTAACGCATATCAGCTTTTGAAATGATTCGCGGTGAAGACTTAGACCTCGAAGAAATCCTCAGGCACATGGAAGTACTCCCGTATCAGTTTGAGCCTAGACTGAACGGCGGTGCAGCAAATTCGGAAGACGTGAGGCCAAGTGACAGCGAGGAAGCGACAGGCGATGGTTCCTGGAGTCCAAGGGAAGATGATATAGCCGAAGTTGGTCGTCTCCAAAATACAAACTGGTAAGAATGAGCTATAACTGATCTTCAGTAGATTACAAGTCACATATCAATTTAGAATATTGATAGGAAGTTGAAAGACCTTTCATATGTAAATTTCACGACTTCACCTTAGATAATTTAGGCATACTGCACATGCTGTGCAAAGCAGGTAAACTAGCTTAATGAGCTTGCCCTTGCTAGTCAGAAATCGGCGGGGAAAAGAACATAGTTTATCTCATTTAGTGTGAAAATATTGAAAATAATAAAATCAATTTAACAGGGCTATGTATTAGGTTATTGACGTATGTTTGTTGGAGAGATACCGTTTGAGACGTGAACCCTGCAGTTTAAGATTAGAATAAGAATTTGGTTATACTTCTCTGTCAAGTTTTTCTTTATAAATTACGATATGTTTTAACATAACATAATTTGTTTTTGTAAAGACATGTGCATTGTAAAACAATGGTATCAGAACTATAGAACAAGAAAAACTAGTACAATGTTATTGCTATTGCCTATTTATTTTCAGGACTTAGCGCCATGCAGCTACCGGGGGTTTGCTTTTGGATATGGCAACGTCTAAGTCGGGAAAATAGAACAATTCTTTCAGCTTGCGTTGTTACTAAAATAAGACATACGTTCCCTTCGGATCAATACACAGGATTTAAATATTCCAGACCAAAATAAGACCACATCCAAAATAAAACAAAAATAAATACCAATAATTCTGCTTTCCTCCTACGATGTCTTCTTTACTTCTTGATCAATAGAATAATATTTTGTTAAATTTCACCTGACAAGGCATTTTACTCTCCCATAATTTCGAGTAATATCTGTGTTGGGTAGGGAAAGATCAATCTGTCTTTATTAGGGTAGATAAGATATATGGCACACACTGGGATGATCCTAAGTAATTGGATGATGTCATCACTTCTTGTTGTGTAAACACGCCACCAATCAATGGTGTCAATTTCATGGCATTTTCCGTGGACCATATAGGAGAGATCCTCTAAAGCATGGAAGAAAAAATACCCATCACCTCTGTAATTTGAAGACAGGGATATCTCAACCCCTGGGGTAATTTTCTAGCTCTATAAACTTTTTAAAAGATCACCTCTCGAGTTGAGAAATTCCAGTCTACAAAACACAGGGGTGAAATACCACTGAAATATCATTTTATTAGTGTTGAATATCAATGTCTTAAATCTTTGACAACTGGACGATTTAAAACTAAATAATTGGGTTCAAAACAGATAGCTGAATTTAATGATAAACGTTACCACAGTGTAAAGATGGAAGCAAACTACTCCTATATGTCTAAGCAAAATGATGACATGTCGAAGATAACTGTGATGTCATGGCTCCATTATTTTGGACGTTAGCAAAACGTGACCGACGCTGTAAAATCAGTGTTATTTTGTCAACGTTTGGAAAAGAACTAGTCACAGCTGGAGGTTTATATCCAAGGAAGGTGTTGGCTTCCCGAATGGCTTACTGGTAGCATGGAAACAGTTGTCTCCTTTCCATCAACGACTTTTCCTTCATTTTTGTCAAAACATTACAAGTATAAAAGTGTGCTGGTAAAATTTTCTCCTCATAGAACTATGTATTTTGTTGAAAATTGTGATGCATTTTCTCTTTACCATAGGTGACAGCTGTTCTGTTTGGTTTCACTACAACCGTTTCGCCGTTTTCCCCTTTGGGATAGCTTACTCGCCAGCAAAGATGTCCATCCGGAGTAGTTGCCTGGCGTCGCTTTCCATTTTCATTGAAATGAAGTGCAGCAATATTGAGTCTATAACAATGAAGTAAAGAATCTAAACAACAAAGAAAGACATTCTAAAGGCTTTCATATACTTGTTCTTGAGTATTTTTTTCTAACTTTACCTGGCCACCTTAGCAGGGTAATCGAAGTGAGTGGTTTTTGGTGCAAAGCTGTTGACTACGCTGTGAAATACCTCCAGTCCATAGGTCTGATGCACTGGAGAAAGCTTTGGTATGTAACGTAGAGGAACTTTGCTTTCCACCACCTCTCGGAGCATTTTATGTGGTCTAGAACCCAGTCAAATGATAAAAGACAGGAAATAATACATTACAAGCCTTCAATTTTCACGTAGCCTTGTTTATATTCGAGATAATTTTGTAAGCATTTGTAAGCAACTACAAAAAATATTTGATATAGAGATTAACGAAATCAAATGATAAATCTATAACAGGTTAGCTTTCTATGATAGCTATAGTAAAAATGATTATGGAAGACAACAACTATCATAATAATGATAATATTAAACAAATACCTTCTTCTTTCAACCATATTCTCTCTATTGTGATAGGTCCATGATGACGGGAAACATATTTCCAGTCTTAGTCATGGTGGTTGGTCATATGGTTCGAGACAGATTTCCAGAACCCAAGTTTCATGTCAGAATTGTATCCACAGAAAGCAGACACCCAGTAGCAATGGTTAGCCACGCTTTTTATCCAAGGGCGGATACTCTCACACTCTTTTTTCGCTGCTGTCTCCAACGTTTTTGATACACCTGATGATTTAAGAAAATGTAAAACCAATAATGTAAACCATTGAATTGTAGAATTTTAATTCAGAAATATTTTAGGTTTCCCACTAATACAAAAACGAAGAAAAACCAAATAGAGATCGAGAGATAAATATAAAGATATATGCTGCTTGATAATAACTTTATACCTTTAGCAACATGTCAGACATCAAAATAGAGGCTGATTTCAGGCCATGTGGTTCTCATATACCACTTCACCATCTGATGCCGGTCAGTAACAAGATCTTGTTCCTGGATGAAGAAAGGTTAGGCCCCTTTTTAGTCCTTCCTTCTCCATGTGGGGTAATCCCTTTACTTTATTACTCTGTTAACAAAATAGTCACTTCTACATATCCTGTAGTATTTTACAACATATTGGATTATAAATTTCTATATTCTGTGTACTTTATTTTGATATAATTTAATATAACTTAACATCCTATTAACAGCCTTGGTCATTTATGGTGGCCCCCCAATGTCATGCAAAGTGACTGTATACAATTTAAAATCAACAACAAATTAGACTGAATTTCTAAATTCTGATACGATTTGAAATAAGAATTTGATTTTTTTATAGCTAACAATAACAAGGTCAATATATCATCCTAAACTATTATAGTTTTTAAACTTGACAAAAAATAAGATTTTAACTCCATACCTGTAATAACTGTACATCCAGTGTCTTCTTGATCTCCTTGTCCATCAGTGTGTAAGAACCATATTTGGCACTGTAACCTGGCGAGTCACATCCTGCATCAACACTAACGGAGAGAGTTCTTCCTTGAAAATTCTCCAGGAGTTCCTGCTGACTAAACTCCCAGGATCGAATAGCAGCTGGCACAATATATGCTGGTTGTAAACGAGCATATGTTGAAGCAGACATCATTTGAAGATGCATATGTTTGAACAATCTTAAAGTCTTTGAAATATTATTTCCACTATAAAGAATTGCCCCTGCAACGATGAGATTTGATACTGGCATACCACGATGAGTTTTCCGATTTTCAAACATTTGTGCGTGTCCATTTACACATTTTATTGTAGCTGAAAAAAGAGTTCCCTTGTAAACTTAATTAAAGGCTCACATTTGAAGCCATAAATGTGACATACAGATAAAAGTTTGTGTAACTGTGTTTCTGATACCAAGAACTGTCTCTCATCTTCAGGATCAACATCATTTCTGATAACAACTGCCTCCTTAGTCTCGTCATCTTAATCTAAATCACTTTCATCACAAACCATCTTATCATAATCTTCAGGATTAAAATCTGGGTCATCAGTTGTGTTGTCATCTTTCCATTCTAGTTCACTTTTACTTTCACTGCTTTCACTGTCATCAGATTCATTTACTTTTTCTTTCAGGAAAAAATCATCTTGACTTTTTAACAATGTATACGGCACTCCTACTGAGCACATTACAGTTTTCTGCAGAGAAAAGTCCAACAAATATGGTGCTCCTACCTGTATCCGCATTGTTCATTGTTTATTGTTTACATTAGCCTGACACTTCACCGACTTCATTTGAACTGAACATGTTATTGTTTGTGGCACATATGATGGTTCACTAACTTGGTCTTGAGAGGCTATCATAGGCTGAAAATCAAGTTGATTATCATCACACTCTGAGATCTCATCGTCAGTAGTACCATGAGTTGTCTCTTGTAGGACTTGCTTTATTACCCGTAAAAAATCATCACAACAATACAGATACTATCAATAAACAATAGAAATCAAATTTTACAAAACAGAACTTCCTACAATGTATTTCTATTGCAAAGAATAAGGTTTTATCTATTTCAATAATCGATTCTAATTATTTTTGAGGGGGTGGATAAAATAAAGAAATGGGAAGCAGACAGACAGTATAGGAACTGATACAATGAGGCAATGAGAGCATCAAATCTCTTCCGGTCCCTTCAATGTACCTTTAGCAGAAGACATTTCCATTTTGTCGCCTCCTACAAACACACAGTAGAGAGCAACAGTCCCTATTCCCGTGCTTTCCAATATCTTCAGAAGGCACAACTGGTTTTCAAGTGAAAACGGATACCAATAATCAGCAGCCACAAAACCCAGTGACATAAAGTTGGTAAATCGGTTATCTGCCCCTGTCCGGGGGGTGGGGGGCTTTAACAGAGGAAACTGTTTCTATGTTATTTTTCTTGATGAAATGTCCTAGGCTCGGTTATAACCGGAACAAGAAAAATGTTACTTTTAACGCACGGGTGAATTCAATTTTTACGTAATCGATTTTGGAAATAGGATTTAGCATAAGTTAGATGAAATCCATTCAGGTAAAAGACATAAACATATTTATTAATAACAGATAAAAGAGACGGCGTAGAGACTATCAGATTACATTAAAACAGGGAATATCAACTTGTAAACAACAATAAATCAACAGGAGTTAGGGGGATATCACCACTGCTGAAGCTCCACACTATTGATAAATTTGATGATATTTATTGAATCGTGATGTTTAACTTATCTTGTTCTAGTTAGATTGTCATTAAGTTAATATATTGGTTAATTTACATTGGCAAATAAACAACTTACAATACACATCAGTAAATTATAGGAAGTCTTATGTTACAATGCACGAGAATAATCCTCAAAATATTTCTCTTTTTCTTTAATAAAGTTGAACGCCTTCAAAATGATACATTACATAAGAATTCTCATTGCCATCCGGATACTCAATATATACATGGTTTCCGTGTGACAATGATAGCAACATAGTTACAGACACTGAATTATAGATACTATTTGACGCAGGCGCATGCAGGACACGAACTCTCTCCCTGTCAGCCTTAACAAAGAGCAACATTTGGTCACCTGAACTGACCGACCATACAGACAATGTAAACAGGTAAACTCCAGGTACATCACAGGTAAAAAAGCCTGAGGTGTTGTAGTTATTTCCATCGTTCCAGATTACTTGATTCAAAATTTCATTCCACTTGTTTGTGTGGTTCCTAAGCAACGTCTCCACAGAAAATGAGATCTTCTGAGTTGAAGAAAACAGGTTTTGAACTAAAAATTACTTTTTTTATGGGAACATGATACAAATCATGGAACTTGGCACGTGACATAAACCCTGGAACTTAGCACGTGATATAAACCCTGGAACTTGACGCGTGATATAAACCCTGGAACTTGACGCGTGACATAAACCCTGGAACTTGGCACGTGAATTGTATATATGTTGTGCTAGTATCCAATTATAATAGTTAATCATTCATATTTTGTGTATATTTTTCTACATACAAGTTAGTATTCATATGCTAAACTGATATAAATGTTTTAAATGTTTATATGTGTATTTTAACGCATGTATGTAGGCGTTACGCACAAGTGTTTATACAGGTAAGCGCGATGCACTTTCTATATGACTACGGTAGCTATCCGTTAATCATGATAACTGGTATCATTGTCGTTAGTATTCTTCAAATTGACTTATATGCTTGGATATATGATCATTTGTCCGCATTATCTATGTTTATGAAACACATACACATGCTTTATTCTAAAGTCCATGTATTGTTGTAATTGTTTACTAGCTGTTTGTAAGAGGAGTTCGTATATATCTACATAAGTCATATTTGTGGTACTCAGACTAGTATGTAGTATTGAAGTTGTGTGAGCAAGTGTTAGTATGCATGTTTATTCTCTTATAGAAATCCATAGATGGGTTGGTAGGTGGATGAGTGGAAGTACTTACATATCTATTGTATTACATATGTTTATGTATTTGTATTGCTTTTGTGCCTATGACTAACGGCAAATAAAGAATCTAAATCTGGTTGAGGTAGCTGTGGATGAGACAACTGGTGCCGGACAGATTGGGCCAGTCCCATAGGTGATGACACCGAGCATTGTGCACGCCGACTTCAATCGTCATAGTCGTCATATTTCGTTATCCCGGTATCTCTTCCGAGCCGAAGGATATACATCCAAGCACATCAGTGCTATAGTCTTCTACCGATGGTGGATAGATGTGGTGATACCTATGCGGGGGTCACTGAGTGTCAGTTGTTGAGCAATCTACCCGACTTGAGTGACAAATATCATCCAGATAGTGTTGTGTTGGACATCAACCCAGGAATACGAACATTTAGTATTGAATGTGTGATTGTGTGGTAGAGTGTATGTATATTTCTATTGGGGTTTATTAATGTATCAATGTGTATATGTTTTAAATCAATGTAAATACTGTATCACAAATTGTTCTGTGTTATCTCAGCTGCCGTCCGATCGTCCAACGTTACAGATATGATAAATCCTTTAATTTTGGACGTGATATAAAGCCTTCGTACTGGGACGTGATATAAAGCCTTCGTACTGGGACGTGATATAAAGCCTTCGTTCTGGGACGTTGTATAAAGCCTTCGCACTGGGACGTGATATAAAGCCTTCTTACTGGGACGTGATATAAACCCTTCGTACTGGGACGTGATATAAAGCCTACGTACTGGGACGTGATATAAACCCTTCGCACTGGGACGTGATATAAAGCCTTCGCACTGGGACGTGATATAAAGCCTTCGTACTGGGACGTGATATAAACCCTTCGTACTGGGACGTGATATAAACCCTTCGTACTGGGACGTGATATAAATCCTTCGTGCTGGGACGTGATATACGAACCCTTCGCACTGGGACGTGATGTAAACCCTTCGTACCGGAAAATGATATAAACCCTGCGTATTGGGACGTGATATAAAGCCTTCGTACTGGGACGTGATATAAACCCTTCGTACTGGGACGTGATGTAAAGCCTTTGTACTGGGACGTGATATACGAACCCTTCGTACTGGAACGTGATATAAAGCCTTCGTACTGGGACGTGATATAAACCCTGGAACTTGGCATGTGATATAAACCCTTTTTTACTGGGACGTGATATAAACCCTTCGTACTGGGACATGATATAAACCCTTCGTACCGGAAAATGATATAAATCCTGCGTATTGGGACGTGATATAGAGCCTTCGTACTGGGACGTGATATAAAGCCTTCGTACTGGGACGTGATATAGAGCCTTCGTACTGGGACGTGATATAAACCCTTCGTACTGGGACGTGATATAAACCCTGGAACTTGGCATGTGATATAAACCCTGGAACTTGGGACGTGTTATAAAAGTTGATCACAAGTAACACGTTACTATATAAAAGATGCTATCCTCGTCTGATTGTGGACATTGTGGAACTAAAATTGGGTGGTCGGGTGGCGCAGTGTTAACGCACTCGCCTTTCACCTAGCCGACCGGGGTTCGATTCCCGGAACGGACGTGAAAAGGTAAGTGGTCACCTGTCCGACCGCGTGGGTTTTCCCCGGGTACTCCGGTTTCCTCCCACAATAAGGCCCCTCGCGCGCTTACATCCGGGCCAACAAGAGTGATTAGTATAAGTTTAAATAACTTGTTTCGCAATTGTTGTAAAACAAATAAAGTTTATATTTATATATTTATATAACTAAAATTATATAAGGAGATGGAAAATCGTCACGTGATGATGAGCACTCCATGTTTTGAATTTTGGTCTCCAAAAGTCCATAACATCATACCCTTCTCTGTAGTATCATAAGATAAAGAGCCTGTGATAAGAACTAATTTGGATACATGTAACTACAAGTAGAGAAAATCTTGCAACACACATTCAGAATTAGATACTGTAGTATGAAATCATAAATTAATCACAAGGAAGATTTTCAATGCTGTTTCTATATTTACCTGATGCTCCTCTGTCCCCTTTCTGACCTGTAGGTCCAGTATTCCCAGAAACCCCAGGCTGCCCCTTTTGTCCTTTGGTACCTGGCTTTCCACTGTCGCCTTTAGGTCCTACAATGCCAGTTGCTCCGTTGTCTCCTTTCGGTCCTCGTAAGCCTGAGTCCCCCTTTTCATACTTTGATGCAAATGCTGTTTCACAATAAGTCATATATAGACGCTTAAGTACAGCTTTCGTTATCGTAAGTGTAACGTTTATCATCTTAAGTACAACTTTCGTCATGTTAAGTACAGTTTTCATCATCTTAAGTACAGTTTTCATCATCTTAAGTACAGCTTTCGTCATCAGAAGTACAACTTTCGTCATCAGAAGTACAACTTTCGTCATCTTAAGTACAGCTTTCGTCATCAGAAGCACAGCTTTCGTCATCAGAAGTACAACTTTCGTCATCTTAAGTACAGCTTTCGTTATCGTAAGTGTAACGTTTATCATCTTAAGTACAACTTTCGTCATGTTAAGTACAGTTTTCATCATCTTACTTTTCGTCATCAGAAGTACAACTTTCGTCATCAGAAGTACAACTTTCGTCATCTTAAGTACAGCTTTCGTCATCAGAAGCACAGCTTTCGTCATCAGAAGTACAACTTTCGTCATCAGAAGTACAACTTTCGTCATCAGAAGTACAGCTTTCGTCATCAGAAGTTCAACTTTCGTCATCTTAAGTACTATTTCCGTCATCTTAAGTACAGCTTTCGTCATCAGAAGTATAATTTTCGTCATCTTAAGTACAGTTTTAGTCATCTTAAGTACTACTTCCGTCATCTTAAATACAACTTCTGTCATCTTGAGTACAGCTTTCGTCATTTTAAGAACAACTTTCGTCATCTAAAGTTCATCTTTCGTCACCTTAAGTACAGCTTTGGTGAAAAACTCTTTCCGGGTTAATTTCTTTTTTCTATATTTGAAAATAGTTCAATTAAATTTGCTTCGTTTAATCAAATCGAATTAAGATATCTATTTTGTTGTTACTGTTAATATAAATTGTTTACCTTTCGATCCATTCCAGTGCGAAAACAAAGAAAATGAAGGTACGTAATCTGGAAAGAGAAACATTAAACACTGATTTTGTGTCTCCTCCTTCATAATGATATTAATCGAACAACGACATGTGTACATCGTATGTGTGCTTCTTCTACAAAACGCTTGAAATTATCTTTAATTATAAAGACTTTGCTAGGATCAAGATGATACCGCTATTTCAACCGATATGTTTAACATATAAAAACATATATAAACAATAAACTATTTTGACTTGGCATTCATCATCGTTATAAGTGACATAGCTTTTTATGCAACGTTTATATGTGTATTCTCTCTACATTTTAGTGTCCTCAATAGCTTGTTTGAAATTTAAAGAAAGGATTCTTTATCGACAGCGTAACCTGTCAACAGCTATTTTGACAGTGACGTCATCGCCTTTTCCAAGCCAACTACAATTACATTGGAATGGGCACGTGCAGAAGTCTTTAACGTACCGTCAATCATACTTACTATTATTTTGGTCAGTTTTTCATCATTACGATGTCAGGCATTGTAAATATGACTAATTTAAATAACATCTTTGACAGGTCATCACTGAGTAATAATCATAGTGTGACAGTTTAATGTAATGTCTGTCACATATTTTAGCAAAGCTGTAACTGGTAATATTACACATTGAAACGTAAATAACATATACATCTACGTGCTGTCACTAAATATAGATCATTACATTACATATTAAAACATTACCTCTTTTTCTTCTTGGTAATAAACCGATATCCTCGTTCTTTTTGCCCAAACTATGAGTTCCATCAATTTTAATAGGATTTTTTCTGTCCGTTGGCTGTCGTCTGTTTCTTTAGCAACGAATCAAAGATATATCATCATTAAAATGTATATCAGATTGTTATCCGTTTCTGTAAGCGAACATATATCAGCTGTGAATTTATTTAAGCGGTTTTTTCTCGTTACGCATATTGCGCGAAGATTGTGCGAATGGCAGTTTCTCCTGTCCTGAATATAGCTATGATTGCGAATGTGCGAGTTCATCATTGTGCTTACTTGTTCAAATTTAATATTGCTTTTAGATTTTATTTCGGCAAATAATGTTTGGTTAAAATATCATATATAATATAGAAAATACACCAACTATTCGACGTTCGACGAGGAGACATCACACATGAGAATTTGTGATCGTAAAATTTCATAGAAACTTACCTAGATTCACATACATCCTGACACATCTCATCCTGCTGTTTGCGAAATTTATCCAGTTCAGCGTGGATGTTGGATACCACTTCCTTCAGGTGTGAGACTTCAGCTTGAAGAACATCATACCTGTAATCTCGTTGACTGCTATAAGCAAACGCCACAGCCAAGACCATCACCAAAACAACAACAGTTGTCATCGTGTGTCAGTGATAGTCAGAAACTCTATCAAAACTTCGGCATATCTTTAGACAAGACATGTGACCTTACAGATTAGCAAGCTTAACGATGGTTCGACTTCATACAGCGGTATTAATACTTAGTACAACCAATGACAGAAAGTGGAAGAATTATATAGATTAATGTTATCGTTGTTGTTTTTTAGATTTATACATGTATATATATATATTAGGGTGAGAATTTTGAGGCTAGTATTTCGCCTCATGTAAGTTAACAATACACCAATATAATAAATTATCTTAAGAACTACGACATCAATTATTCTACTTTTGTATGAATTTTTATCTACCAAATCGCCTGATAAGATTTCACGGCAAATCAGATTAATACCACATTTTATAGACTAATATTCCAAACATCGAAAAGAATATTTCGGTTAGAATAAAAATAAATAGATATAAAAGAAATAGATAAAGGAATAAATAAACAAATCAAGAAAGGAATAAAGAATAAAGTTACAGACATCTTTATCATTATGTTGTTGTGCTATGTTAAGTCATGAGAGTGGAAACAGGACGCACTACATAAACTCGTGATACGCAGAAAATGTTAATATGGATTTGTATCGGTCGGAATGACGTTTGACAAAGCGGATGCCACGCGTGAAGCGGGACATTTCTTAACGGATACCTTAACCACAACTCATGTCCAGTGTGGCATTTATTGTTGAACGGAAACTGAAAAGCCATTACGTCCTACCGAGAAATCGAAACGCTTGCATAAAGCGTTTGATTGTACGGAACATAACCAGATATATCTCAACCGAGTTTATCATATTATATATATATATATATCTTCCTGTTCAACATTATCGGATTTATTTAATGATAGTTCATTTTTTCTTTATTAATATGAGCTAGAATGAAAGATGTGTTTTCACACCAACTGACTTATCAATGTAAATGATGAATGATTATTCAATCCTTGAATGATAATGTTTAGTAAATACAGACATTGATATTTGAAATGTGTAGGAAATTCGAGTTACTCCCCTTTGATTTATATTTCCTATAGACATTGACTCGTTTTGTAGTAGCAGTTTCCTTTAACATCGCATTTTTCCCCTCCAACTTATAGAGTCCATACATGTTTGAGTTCATCACTGAAACGAATAGAAACACGATACGTACAAATGGTAGTCATATGCTTACTATATATAAATAAAAAACGTGATTCCTTAAAGAAAAAAAAATATATATATATCCCCGTCTTTGTGCGGCATTGTAAATTCTGCCAGTTAAGTAGCTTAATGTAATCGGGGTTTGAGTAAAAGTCCTTTTATAACCTATATATAGGCGACTGATTTCATCAAATTTACAGTGCGGCAACGCTACAGTTGGATTAAATTAGCCAGCCAATGTCAAAAGTTAACCCGTTCATTTTCAAAAAATACTGTAATATCGGCGGAGGCGAGATTTGTGATATCGGTCACAAATATAGATAATTATCTCATATCTTCGCTTATAAAACGCCTTTTGTGAATGAATAGTATTATCACCTCTAAATACTACAACACATCTGTTTCATGTAAAGCATTACCAGATATGTCTAGAGGCGCAGTGTGCATGCACAGATTTCAAAATATATTAGAAACTGTAATCAGATTGCATTTTTAATATAAGAATTATCAATTCTCTGAGGTTGTTGAACGACAATACATATATCCATATATATGTCACCAGTTTCACCGATATCTGTGTACATTTTTTCTTGATACAGTCTGATCGTAACGCTACCCCTGTCATTCCCGGCATGCATTGCTACTTATCACTGTAGTCCTTATAAATACATCAGTGTTTTTTTTTTTTTTTTTTTCGAGCAGTTGACTGTTGTATTATAATTATTGAGAGAATGTCCTGAATTCCATACGAATCAAGAATGATTCTGTTTACGACAAGTATATTACACAGAGAAATAAATTACGTAATCAGTAGATCTGTGGTCTTTTACTGGTAGTATTGTGTCGTTTGTCCATGACAACAGCCGCGGGTTCTTCTGGAGCAAAAAAAAAAGTTCTCTCAATTGACCACTACTCCAGAACGCTGTATAATCAAGTATTAAGACATCTGGAAAAGAGTTTCTTAATGTTAAATACCATCCTTGGGACTGTTTTCCATATTGTGTCATCCATTATTGTGTTTTCAACTTGATCCTAGCTACCAAATATATCTATAAAGGCTAGACAATATTAATATATGATGATATGTAGTAAACACAACAAACAGTACAAAAGCTTACAATAAATTCATTAATGTTTCTATGTATATATCACAAATTTAACATTTAGAAATTTAGAAGTAAAGGGCCGAACTCAATAATTTCAATAGAGGCAGGGCTTCATTAATGATATATACGTTGAGAACGGCATGGAAAGCTTGCGGCTGTTTTGAAGAACCTGTAGTTACTCTCTACTTCTAAATATCAGATTTATCAACACCTGGCGTGTCTTACAATTGGCGTTTAATTGAATTGGACAGGTTTTCTACAGCGATTTCAAGCTCTGTTATTGTCTTATCTTGGCCGCCAGCTGAAAAGGTGACAGGCATGTTTAATTCAGTCTGACATTTGCGATTTATCATTTCATAAATGCAGTAGTAAAATTTTAAAGTTGTAAAATTATTGTTCAAGTGGAAGATTGATCTCTCTTCATGAACGTTCTTAGCACGTGTACATTTGTGCAGGCGTCTACGAAAGATGTTTAGCTCCAATAGATATCACACCACAGCAACGCTATCACTTATAGAACATGTTTCCCGATATTTTGCGAGTTTCATGAATTACAGACACATTTACTGTATATCATGTTCACTTTGCGAACTGTTGATTTTGCTTGGTATTTTTCTGTCCAAATTGTGTAGAAAGCGCTCGGTTTCACAAAATATTTTTCATTACCTGCATGTCTTGCATTTATAGGACGTGGCAATATATCGTTTATCGTAGGAAAATAAAAAATCACTGCGTGGGACACATGGACGATGGATGATGCAACACGTGCGTTTGATGTAATTATGAAACATTTTCCGTCAGTTTCCTTTCAGAACAAGCCAGCGTTAGAACAATTTGTGATTTTCATTTATGACCATACCAGATAAAAAGGCATAAATGTATGAAAGTTTTGTTTGCGAGCAAAATATCGGTGTACTGAACTTGTCCCTAATTTAAAGATGCTTTATTGCAGCTGCAAAACGAGCATTATGGTTGTGTGTATGGTTCCAGAGTAGAGTAACTCAGTAACATAATGTCATTGACTCAGGCCAACCATTCTGAACAACATTATTGGATGCGTTTTCTTCTTGCAAGGAAGTCATTTACTGGTTCTGCAACACAGACTACCAAGGCTCATATACATTTGTAAAGTTAGCACGTGATAGCTTTCTTTTCTATGATTTGGCTTTATTATCACGAAAGCTCTACATTGTAAAGTATAAATAAGTATATACAACCGGATGTTAGTTGTGTAGTATATAAATCATTATAAAATCTTGAGATTATGTGTTTGTATTTTTGTGTCTGGTCCGCATAATTTCAAGAAATAACCTCAAATAAACTAGTCCTGATTTACATACTCCATCTTAAATCATACCGGAAGTTTCAAACCGAACTTAAAATAACCTTTGTTTTACAACAAAACATAATGCTCGTATATAGAAATGATAATGCTGTGTTTCTTTGAAATTGTAATGGAGGGAAGCTAAAATACTAATCAAATGCTAGTTACTTGTTTCCATGTCAAAGGCCTCGACCCAGTCAACCGGAAGTACTTCCTCGATGTCTCCATATCTATAATTGTTTATGAGACCCTGCTCTGTCATCTTACCGAATTCTATGATTTTGCTGAATGTTTTGAAATTTTGCTGTACTAATAAGTAGTTTGTAGTCGATTGTGTCCACGGTAACCTAGATAATTTTAGTAACAAACCTAAAACTGCTACTACAGTGATAATTTACCTTATAAATATCTCGAAGATTGCGCCGTTTCATTGGTGACAGTTCCCAATCAAGAGCCTGAAACACACCATTTATAAAGCATGGCCTCGACACGACATCGTGTGAAACTGACGCGCATGACGTCAGCTGTTGATTGCCCGAGATTTACAGCTTTCTGCATGGTATGTAATTTATGGGGCTATCGCGATGCTACGGAATATAATAATTCCATGTTATTACTCGACTCCAATGTTGAGGATCAGTTCCCCGGTGTCTCCATTGAGCTTGCGTTTATCAGTTCCACACTTGAGATAAAGATAGTCTGCTTAAACATCATCTAGATATTTGAAAACGTGCTTAACGAATATCATATAGGGTCTACATTTCAAGAACTGGCGATTCAGCAGGTGGATTTTACAGAAGTTGAAAAATTTGTTTTTCGAACCATATTCAACTTTTAACATGCATTGTTATGGTGATGTTAACTTAAGATTTTTTTTTTATTTCAAAAAACAATACACCGTACATTATCATTTATTTATGTTTATCCCTCAATTCGACACAAACTACGCATAGTTTAATGTGTAGAAGTTCAAAACTAAATCTGGTTAAATTCATTTCATGTTCCTTGCTGCGTTTGCACCTGCGCTATACAATGCAAACAAATATGGCGACTTGTTTGATTTTGTCATTAGTAGTAAGAAAAAAATTTCATGAGAAAGGAAAACATGGGATTGATGAATGAATGTCTATTGCCCTTGTTAAATATGACGACGTTGCTATGTTAAAACGACTATCTATTTTCCAATATTCAAACACTATGGTAATGCACTCGCCTTTCAACTAGCCGTCAGGGCTTCGATTTATTTGATTTAAACATATTTTATTGCATAAATTGTATATACAAATGGATTGGGCACAAGTTTACAAACTTATATAAAGCCCGTTCCAAGATAAATAACAGACACATATAAATGCAAAAGATGACCTATTCGAAATTTACAAGATACAATTATATATACAGAGAGAGAGA